ATTAGGACTTAAGGATCACTGAGATTGCGTAACATTCCTCAGAGTTATAGACATGCGAGGTTCTTCTACCCAGGTCGTCACTTTTCTTTTCTTGATAGTGGGAGAAAATTTGGACAAGCATTTAGCAGTATTTTCTGACATTTTATAGACTAAACTATTTCTGAAATGTGCTGTGTCATGGAGCATTTAGTTTCAGATAAATGTAAATTCAAACCGTGCTGATGTTTCTGGAGAAGAACAACTAGTTAAGTTGAGTAAAAGACATTTAACTGGCGAGAACTCTACTAAATTCATAGAAATATTTCAGGAAGCATGGGAAAGCCATTATTCAAGAGGCATCCCACTTCTGCGTTGTGTTCAGGTACTCTGGTGCTCTCTGGTTTTTGTGTTCAACTGCGTCTCTTTTTGCACACTTGATATTTGGCTTCACACATCGACTCGAGCTCATCTTTATATGTGTCCCACTGCTGTGGCATTAAACAGACAAAAAGAGAGTGTGTCCTTTGAAATAGTTTTGGCGAAGGGTATTTCCCCGATAAAAAAGGCTTTCATCCCACCTGCACTGGCAACACACAAACACGGTAACGTATGCAATTTTACGGGGCTGGGAAACATGCACACATGCATGTAAGCGCCACACAGGTTGCAGAGTCTTAAGTGTGGGGGTGAGAGAGGCTTTTCAACGGTACGTTAACCCTGCTATGTGTGGTTTATAGGTTTCCTAATGCACTTACTGACAAAGTATTTCCCTCTGACGAAACTACACTGAGAGAAACGTAGGAGGGGGAAAGGGACAGGGGTTGTTCCAGCTTTGAGAACCTGCAAAGAAATCAGGTTTAGGGTGAGAGAGTGAGCGGGAAAGAGAGGCTGAATGCACAAAGTGACACGAAAGGTGAATTTAGAGGTGGTGAAAGAGAAAGAAGACGACAAGGGAGAGACAAAATGATGCAGAGGAAAGAGACGTCTGCATTCTGGCTCCTTCATACCCACAACATGGACCACAAACAAAGAGAGAGCAGCATGACCCATCACATCTCTCTCTCTCTCTCTCTCTCTCTCTCTCTCTCTCTCTCTCTCCATACTGATATTCAAACCAACACACGCATGTAAAACCATGTTTTAAGAGTAAAGTAATAAATTAGGTTTAATCAGGTTTGACAGGTCTCTCTGCACTACAATCACGTGGTTTTGGTGCTTGTCACCTTCTGTTTCTCTCACACAGCAGAAATAAAACATTTAATTGATGCTTTAGTTCAAAACCTAAAACAAATATTCAGTTTACTCTGATATATGACAAAGAACAGCAACATCCTAACATGACAACTGGAACCAGTAGACATTTGGCGATGAACAAAATGATGAATTGTCAAAGTGGTTGCAGATTGTTTCAAGTCATTTTTGGGAAATTGGAAAAAAGAAAGAAAGACAGACACATGGAGGGTGAAGAGGTTGACTTGTGGAAGCAGTGAGGCCAAAAAGTGATAGGAAAAGAGGGGGAGGGTGGGTGTAATGATCGGGTGAAGGAGGGAGGGAGGAGGGGAGAAGGGAAAGGAAAGAGGAGGTGGGGGACTCGGCTGAGTTGGGGAGGGTCTAACAACCACAAATCACGCAATGATCAGTCACCTCACTTAGTGTTTCTGGAATGTTCCAGCCTATAGCACCTGCAGGGAGTGGGAGACAGCCTGACAAGTCCTGCCAAGCTCGGGAGGAATTCAACCAAAGGGGGAGGGATGGGAGGAGGGAGAGGAGGAGTAAATGGATGTCCCTGCACCGATTGGCAGTGTGCAAGTTCTCAGCATCATTCTTGCGCCAAAAACTGAAGGAGGCCCTACTTTACGGACTGTGCAACAAAGTAATCACATTAAGAAAGCAAATATTTAAAGTATCTAGCTGTGCTCCCACACTTGTGTTTGAGTGATTCACAGGTGCCTGAAGTAGGTTCATACAATCACACCAGCGTTTTTGCATATGTTCACCCATATACTGCAAATTTCATTCCTTTTTCAGGCAGAAATTTCAAATTTGCAAAAGCTTTACAAATGTGATTTGATGCTTTGTTGTTTGTTTTTGGTTGTTATGTCGGATACAACGCGCAATTGAAATGATTTTGGCATACTCTAAGGAAATGATGCATGCCCACTTTTGACTGCATGTTCCTAAATTTAAAGGCAAAGATGAGTAATTGATAAATGGAGTCAGAAATCAGCACTACTGCACTACATATTGAGTATTTGCATACCAAGCAATTGTGTTTTAGAAATGTGCATGTGCTTATTTCCCAGCACCCACTGCTTTCTATTAATGTCCGTACAGCAGGAGTGCTATTAGCACACTACATGCACGCACTAAATGATAATGTAATAATGATGATGGATTAGACTTCTCAAGCAAGTTTTAAGAGTCTGCTAATTGATTATCATATCACACAAAAATAAATACTGTGGAACAGTAGGAAGAAGACATCCGAAGAGCTGCATAGCAAGCACTTCAAAACAAATGGAAAATGTCCATTTCTGCATTTCACTGAAACATCATTGTTGAAACTAGCCAGCAAACCTGCTAACAAGCAAGCTAAACAACGCTAACACACCAAAAGATACACACATTTCCACATTTATTTTTCATGTGGCTCAATAAATGTTCTGGTAGCTCCGCAGCTTGTAGCTTGAGAAGAGTAAGTCCAGTTTTAGCATCATAGCTAACTAGCAAACTCACAAGCTAAACAATGCTAACACGCTCATCCTAGCCCCTAACCAAGCTGGCTTCTTCTAGACATGCTAACTAGATGGTAAAAATAAATAAAGCATTCCAAAATATACAAGTATTTCAAAATTCACTGTTGGTTAATGTCTTCTTATGCTTTCAGTGCATGAATTTAGGATTAACTTCCTATTTTTAAATGAGCCTGAAACACGTGCTAACTCTGGGCTGGACCGCTGCCTCACCACGGCGATACCTAAAGACACAGTTACCAAGGTAATGACAGCTCAGACCACCCAATGAACTCATCTGTCAGTCACTCAACACACACACACACACACACACACACACGTATACAACACAAAACAACGGGGAGGTGGGGAAGTGGGTGGAGGAGTCAATTCAAAGTCAATGCAGCGCCATCTGATGAGTCCTATTGAGACGCAGGAAGCTTTTTGCTGCTGATTCGCTTTAATGTTTCCCCTTCCAACGACTACCAAAGCATTTCCTGTCACTCAGCTGGTAAAGCAAGGCACTACCACTGCTTGGGGTTGAGGGTTTGAGTCCCTCTGCAGTTCAATGATGAAGTTCGGCACATGGTTAAGGTTGATTTTACTCATATACTGTACTTAAATGCAATTTTTAGGTACTTTTACTTGCGTGTTATGTAACATGCTACTTTATTCTTTTACTGCAAATACTACTTTTTCCCCACTTCATGTACTTTACTTTTATCACTAGTTCATTTGTATACTTTTACATATAAAGATCAACTTAAACATAAAATGATGACAGATTGTAGTAGATTTAAATACCAACTAATATGTCAAGTTGTTAAACTGAGTTGGACCAAGTGCAACAGTAATTCCTACTTAAATAAAATGTATAAAAACATGATTGTGAGTTATTTTACTATTTTACTAATACTACTTTTACTGAAAGTGTTTGAAATACTTTATTGAGACACAGACTGGCCATCTGTGATGAGAAGCGCCAGGTTAAGCTGTGGAGAGAAGCACTACACCCATTACCTCACACATTAGAATAAGAAAGAGCAGCGCTGTTGTTTGATGCTGTCATTCAGACAACAAACATTTATAAGTGTCTTATAATCTTTTAGTGGAGAAAGAAGTATTCAAATGTTTTTATATTTAAGTTAAAGTAGCAATACTCAATATATAAACCAGTAGAGCCTGGTGTAAATAATAGAGACTGGATGCTAACATTGTAATAATGTACATTAATAAACACTTTCAGCTACATTATAGTGCGTTATGAACATGTATTACATGGTTGCATAGTGGTTGTAAATGCTGAATAGGAAGGGCTAAAGTAAAGTGTTAAAATTAGGATATACATGGTTTTCACTGGACAGTCACTACATTTTAGTCGTGGTTTAGATGGGGTTTTTCATACTAATCAGTAAGATTTGAGAACATGAAATAAGAATACAATGAGAAACAAAGCGAAATAGATTCACAGCATTTCCAGTGTGCTATATGCTTTCAAACAGCCCCAATATACTGATGAATAGAATACCATATAAAAGGTTTAAATAATGCACATTTGAGTGGTGCAAATAAAGAAAAGATCCTGTTTGCTTGTACTCTCTTGCTGCAGAAGATGAGTCCCGCAGCTTTCTTGTAAAGGTGTGGCTTGCAAACAAGGCACGTTGCCCCAATAATCTCCTACTTTAAATATTCATCAGCGGGGCGGGGTTTGAATTGCAAATTAATCTGAGCGCACCCACTCTAATATGAGCTGCTTTGTTCAGCCCCTCGGGCTCCTAATAAACGCAAACTTCACAACAAGGCATTAAAAAAAAACATCTATAGGTTGAAGGGTACTGAACGCAGTTGGAATATTAATTTCTATAAAAAATGACAACAAAGGGTGCTGAAAAACAGTGACTTCACTGTCCTTATAGATGTGTAAAATGACTAGGAATATATTCATAAATGTGTCTCCTCATGCGGCAGACTGAAGACACCCACAACGTGACGCATGGAGGAATAGAGGCACACAATAGACCTGTGCAGAGTGCACGTCTCTGATATGGACAACGTGCGCGTAAAAGTCACATATTTACGTGTAACTCATGCAAAATAAATGTGTCAAACTGCCAGTTAAAAAGTTTTAAAAGTGCCTTTTAAACAGAGTAGACCTGGAACTACGCAGTCGCAATGCAAAAATGTAGCACATTCAGCTTCATAGTTCTTATGTGACATCTGTGCTGCAAATAAACCCGAGTGGAGAGCCACTCCACCTGAAGGAGTGTAACATAAGCAAATGGGACTTACTCCGTGCGCAGATCTCGCCACCAAAGCGACTGTTATCACACAAATCCTGCCAGAGAAACAAACATTTGGTTAGTTTGTTGCTCCGGTGATGCTCTGGCAGGTAAACTGCGCCGGAGCTCGGCTCAAACGTCGCCAGCGAGCCGTGATCGAGCTCCGATCGGCTGCTTGCAAAGCTGAGAACTTTTTTTAAGAATGAAGTTTGAAGCGCGAGGGAAAAAATGGCTTACAGGAATTTCATTTTTTGGATCCGACTGGCAGAGAGGGGGGAACCGCAGGTCCAGAGTCGATCCCCTTGTCTTCACCAGCAAGGCACTTCAAACGCGCTCATCGACGACTCCAAAAAAAAAAAAAAGCCCCTGTCATCTACCCGGAGACAGACACAGAGAAAGAGAGAGATAAAGTAGTCCCCCCGCCAAACACAACCCTCATTAATACACATACACACACAACTTTACGCATTTAACCACAAACCAGCACGGAGAGAAAAACCTCTTTCTTTAAAGGTGATTTCTTTCATGAAATGAGAGCTTATCCAACTCACCAAAGTCGCAGCGGTGAAGTCGCTGCTGCGCTCTCCGGGTTGTTGCGCTTCGACTCAGCAACGCACCACAGCAGGGAGAGGAGGGGCCAACACATGTCATTCATGCCTCCATACCTTTTGGCTGCAAGCTGGAGACTTTACCCACGCGCACAGACCGTAACCTCTTCAAACTGGTTGGAGCTGCAGAGGAAGCTCCTCAAACCCGGAGCAAGTCTTTATTTGGTTGTTAGCCATGAAAAATAGAAATAAAGAAAATATTTAAACATTAAAGATGTAAAGACTTTTATTCTTATGAAACTCAATTATGAGCTTAGAGAAACCTTTATGAACTAAACTTCCTTTATTTTATCCCCTTTGATATAAATACAATATCCTTAAAAAGTGAGTTTATCAATAATCACTGTACTTTAAAATTACCTTATGTCTTTATGCTACATTATCACCCACATCACCAATACAGTGGTCATATTATACTCTATTAAGTCGTCTAAAAAGTATTTAATCTAGTGTGGTTGCATGATATTTCTGTTGTGTATCCTACATTTAATACAATAATCTTACACATTCTTTTAACTTTAAAAATATATCCTGCAAATAGGATTATATTTGCAGGATATCCTTGTCTTCAGAATTATAATAGCTTTGTGTCGTGAGGATCATATTTATCGTAAATGTACTAGCCGATGTAACTTTCGGAAAATCCCTGTTATTAAAGACTCTGGTGGCCGTTTAGTGAACTGCAGTCAGCATCCTGTTGCTCGTGCAATCATATGTCACATTTAGAATACCGTCACCTGCTATCTGTGATGTCCCTTTATTTTATTTGGACCATTGGCTCCATGATAATAACTAGCTTGCCATTTCCAAATTACTTCATCAGCTAACGTTACGTAGCAACCAACGCCAGATCCATGCAGCGAGGCTATGTCACAGCTAGCTGGCTAGCCTTAGCTTAGCTTCCAGTGAGCTGCTTGGCCGGCCCCGCCTAGCCTCCCTCTTGGCTAGTAGAAAGCAATCGTTAGTTACACTTCACATCATTTATTGTTAGCTAAAATCAAACCCGCTACTTTAGCTACACACTGTTGGCCCTGCCGGAGGGGACAAAGGGGAAGGCACTAGGGACCACGCATAAACGGCACATTCTTTGGGGTCTTTCACTGCAAAAATGTCACTTTACATAGAAATCAGTCGACAAGCTATTCTGAGCAAACCGAGAAAGTCTCAGTTTTGAAGTTACTTTACAGTCCGTTCACACATCGCAGTACATGTTAACTGTTACATATAGAAGCCTAGCTTTAAGCATGAGATCAAATTAAAAACATTGAACACCTCAGTCGTGACCTGCTGCTCTAAACATGGTGCAGACACTGAGTTACTCAAGTTGCAAACAGTCCTCATTTAGCTCTTGAATGTTCTATTTTAGCTCAACTTGACCTGAGTCTTCAACAGATTTTGTTGACTCATGTTCCTAGTTCACACAAAAGCATCTTTGTTCTCCTCGACAGCTTTTCAGCTGCGGAGCACCACAGGGATCCTTACTGGGACCATTTTGTTTTGCACTTTGATGGCATATTATAGTCATTGATGCAATTGTTAATATATTTATTACCCAAACATATATCCCGAACCCTAACCCTAAACCATGTAGCAGAAATAGCTCAAACCTAAGAAGCTCATACTTTCTTCAAAGTAATTTAACACTTCGTTACATTTTAATGGTCGTTTTTGCCGAGTTTTCAGATCTAATCTCTACCAGTTATAAGGAGACGAATGGAACTGCAGTCCCCACTGTTATAAATGGGGTGGACAAATTAAAAGAAACACCTGTCAGTACAACACCACACAATTCAACAGCATCGCAACAGACTCCAAAATGACCATAGAGTTCTCAAAAACAGTTTAAAAAGGAAACATTGAAGGAATTATTGCAAGACTGTATTAGATTGCATTAGTTTAATAAGCTGGCAACTGGCTGTTGTGTTTGGTTTAAGGTAATTTTGCATTATGAGGCAGACTCACTTCAAGTGGATAAACTCACTTCAAGTCAAACATCCCAGAATATTACACACAGATATCTCATCAACAACGCTCTATCCTGGTGGGAAAGTGGTTCTTTGAGATACTCAGTTACTCAATTTTGGAATTCTGTTCTGCAACTGCTCCTGAATGCAGTAAGAAAAGCATGTGAGCCCACTGGAGACAAAGAGCTAAAACTAATACAGTTGAGAGTGAAAGTTGTGAAACAGATCAACGATCATTAACTGGTTACTTTACAACTTCAAGCCCCCATAAAGGACGTCACCTGCATTTTAGGTGTTTTAGTGCCATCAAGACTCGTCGTGAACATTTAACATTTCATGATGAATTGTTACATTATTAAAAAAATTAAAAACTGTATTAATGCCGTGTGTTTTGGGAGGGTTTGACAATAGTTTTATATGATACAGTATCAGCAGCTTCCCTCTTGCTCCATACACCTTTTAAAAGAATGCATTCTGAGAAGAAGAGGATGATGTTCTCATTTTTTGTTCCATTCTGCTGGCAGCATCCCTCTGTCAGGAGTCAACAGAGAGTATTTGGCCCCTTAATAATCTGGCAGGAATGCAACATGTCCGGGCTGATAGAAAATGTCAAATAAAAGTTTAATGTCAAACCTTTTTTTTATGCAGCCTCAGGCGTTGTGTAGAATTGGGGAGGCACGCAGGAGGAAGGAACCAAATCCATCCGCGTGTGCGAGGTCCCAAAATTATTAAATAATTTTTAATTGAAGAGGGATTTAAAACAAATCATTTTTTGGGACTGGAATGTCCCACGTTGGTTGCCAGAGTAGGACCATATTTTAAGACGCATTTCATCCCGAAACTGTATTTTAGGTGAACTTGCCTGTCTTGGTGTAGGTGCAGTGCTAATATCAGTGCGCCCTGGTTGCGGGAAGTAGATCCGGCTAGGAAGTTGCACGTCGAGGAGAGAAAAAGTTAGAGAGGGGGACTGCAGAGGCGCACGGTGCCAGAGCCAGGACCACTGGGAGCCTCTGCAAGCGCAACAACAGCCGACACGCCGAGAAGAAGTGCCCTTTTTCTTATTACTTCTATTTCTCTGAAGAACAAGTGTGCAGGGGGGGAGACAGAGAGAGACGCAGGGCTATGACACGCGAGTAGAGAGTAGAGTTTGTGAGTGTTAACGCAGACGGATCCTTGTTGTATTCACCCCACCAAGATGAATAAAGACCTGAAGAGCCTGCGACGGCTCGCCGAGCCTCTGCTCCTCCTCGCCCTGTGCGTCGCGGTGCAGCGATCCGACTCTGCGGTAAGTGCGTTCCTCGGCTTCTCTCCTGTTTTACTGTTTGGAGCCCTCTTTTTATCGGCTTTTTAACCCCGCACGAAGAGACCGTGCATGCTCTCTCGCTCAGGGACACCGGGACACCAACGGCTCTCACAGCCGGTCCCAGCTAAGGTTTATAAATAGAGAGGCTCGCTTTATAACAAGTGCATATGCTTCTGCTCTAATAATAATAATAATAATAATCCACTTTACAATTGTGTTGCAATGAAGACAATAAACCCGATTACACGCCGTTGTGCTGCTCTTTTACTGCACTTTTTTCTGTCTTTCTTTTTGAACGCCGGGGACCAGTGAGCACCTTCTACTTTGTAGTTTCATGGAAGAATCGGACGGAGTTTCTGTCCCGGTCCCTGCGCGTCACGGTCCTTCCTCAACCTGTAGCGACACGCCGACCACTGCGCACTGTTCTCAGCCGGCATCGTACCTTTTTTTTTGTCTCGCACTCAAAACATAGACGACATATAGAAAACTGTATGAGGAGGAGCGCGTGTAACTAAACACACTATAGGCAACATTCCTGCTCCTGTCAGCGTGATAACGCGGTCTGCCGCCCGTCTGACCTAAAACACACGGTGCGTAATGTTTTAGTTTGGTGACATCCCAGAGGAGCGGGAATGCGATTTGTTTCAGCGGTTATGAAGGTGCATCTCCCCTTTTGCAGGTGTGTGTTTTATATGGACAGCACCTGGTTATTGACGCATATTGAAGTATGGATTCATATAAACACATCTGTATTGCATCCTAACACCAGATTCTCTGCAGCCAGTTTATGAGCGTCAAGGTGAAAATGTCTCTTTGCGCTTGAGATCCGTGTTTAGCGCGTACTTCCACTCCCCTTCACTCTGCATTAGTTTGCATTAGTGGGCATCGATCAGTCAGTGCGGAGCGTCTCAGCACGACTCCTCATGTAATATTCCAACAGGCTATCCGTGTCATGAATATTCACATCCTCATTAATAATTCACGAGGGCTATATAGTTGCACGCTGCTGCGCACGACCCCGCCCACACGCTGCGTGTCCAATCAGGCCTGCTGTTTATCAGCATGTGCGGTATGAGCCTGTAGCACTTTTTTTCCTTTATGTTCTAGAAGACTTTTGCACACCTCCGCCTTGAAGATATTTACACTTATGGCAGCATTGCATTACGTAAAGGTCACTTTTTTATCAGTTCAGGGTGAGGATGAGGGAGCCTGCTCAAAGTTTACACCAGATCATTTGTATTTATAACAACGCAGGTGGCTTCCTCCCATCACTTTATGCATCTTGTCTACAAAATACTTAAAGTCTGAACTCGGGACATTCCTCCTGCCTGCCGGTGGGGTGTTGCTGCAGCACGTAACAGATTAAATCTTCAAGACGTTTTTTTTTTATGCAAGTCAGAACAGTTCATAAAAAGGTACCGACGTTGTTTGATGTAACCAGGCGCACATAGAGGGCTTTAAGTCTATTTCACTGTAGGTGAATATGTCCTTTAAATTGGTTTATTATACCCCAACTATGGATTGAAGAGATGGAGAGAGAGGGGGTCCACTTTGTACCAAGGAATGTGGCTGGCCCCACCCTCCTGAGGAGGAAGAGGAGGAAGAGGAAGTTTAGAGGGGAGAGATGGATGGATGAGAGCCGTCATCAGTGAGTTTGATCAGGAAGAGTTAGTGAGTGAAGATGATGAAGGAAAAAAAGAGGAGGATGAGAATGAAAGATGGAGGGAGGATGCAGGTGTTGCAAGTTATTTTGACTTTCTCTCCCACTTTTCCTGGTTCAGTCTGAGCTGCACTAGTGCTCTCACCGAGGCCCCCTAGTGGAGGCTGGGTGTGTGACACAATACCACCACATACCTGGAGGTCAGCTCATGAACGAGCATCTCCAAACATGCGCAAGTTTTTAAAATATAAAGAAGGATTAACTCCTCAAGAGGCCGTTTCTTTCTTATAGTACATATAAAGTTGATATTTAGAGATACATGGTTTTCACAGGACTGAGCAAATAAAATCCCTTTACACACACACACACATGCAAAGAGCCTCTCATTCGTCTTGTAATAATTAATTTATCATAAATAGAGCATCTCATTCATCACTGTTGCACAGCTATTTGGTCGTGTGTGTGTGTGTGTGTGTGTGTGCAGTATTAATCCCTGCCCAGATATGAATCTACCATTCAGCCAGGTGAGCGAGTTCAGCGGTAATGTATACCTGGAGGTTTTCCTTTGAACCCGTCATGCCGCGCAACCACAAACACTACACTTAATTTGATGCATGCTTTCCTGTGCGCGCATACGCACAGACACACACACACACACACACACAGACAAAGGTTGCCTCACCTTTTACATGACCCTCATCCCAGGTGGAGCTGTGTGAGTGTGTGTGTGTGTGTGTGGTAGCCATAACATCCTCCAATTGCAGATACGTCTGCTCACGCTGCAGAGCTGCACCTGAGCGCTTCTCTCTCGTCTTCTTTAGTCYGCTGTTCTTTTCTTTCCTCCTCATCCGCCTCTTGTTCTCACCGTCTCTCACTGCGCACAGAAATGCAGGTGAGTTAATCATTTCTCCCTCCTGGAATTTACAAAGTTAAACATAAATCCAACCAATACTGCAGAGATGTTTCACCATTTTGTTTCTCACAGTAGAAGTGGTGTCAGTGTAGGCGTCACCAGTTTTATGCGGGAAACAAAACGTTTTGCCAACGTTTTTTGAAAAGAAGAAAAAATGGAGCTTCAATCTCCAAAAATCTCCTTGTAACTAATCTAAGAGTTTGTTTCCCAGACTTCATAACACTCAGACTCTCTCCTCCAATTCACCATATTTAAAGTTAAAAAACCCAGACGATTCCTGATCTATTACTTACAATTAGAGCTGCAACGATGAGTTTATTGAGAATTAACTATTTCGATGATCGATTCATTTTTCAAACAAAAATACAATTTTTTTCTTTGTTTAAACATCTCAAATGTGAAGATTTGCTACTTTTCTTTGTCTTGCGTGAGAATAAACCTGAACATCTTTGAGGTTTAGATTGAACAAAACAAGCAGGAGCAGAATTCATCTCGGCATTTTTATTTATTTCATGAAACAAATCGGTATAAAAATAATCGTTTTTCTTTTGGAAAACGCGGCTGTAGATTTAGTCGTTTCGATCCACCGTCCTCTCAACAGACCTTTGGGAAATCCTGACGTCACAGAATAATCAACGTTCCTTTACACTCATTTTTCTGACTGTATCTGTTTTTCTCTCCCGTCTCTCCCCCATCTCTCCCTTCCCTTTGTGTTCAAATTCCATCTTTATCTCACCTGCTCTGAGAGAAGGGCTCCTTAAACAAGCAGCAATCCTATTTACCTCCTTTATATAGTTACACATTATGAAGGAGTACTCTGTGTGTACTTGTGTGTGTGTTTCCTGGTGGAACTCACACTGTGGTGTCAATGAGCTGAAGATGCCATTAGGATTAACAGGTGGACAGAAAAGTCAATGTTTAGACAACTAATTACTTCTATCCAGTACTTTCACTCCCTCCTTCTCCGCATGTACTCTGTCTCTCTGTTTACAGCTGGAAGCAGTACTCGATGCAGTAGGTGTAGAAATACTACTAGTAGCAGCAGCAGCAGTTGTATGAGTTGCAGTAGTAGTAGTAATATGAGATGTAGGAGTACCACTTGTTTTAACACTAGTAATAGCAGTAGTAACTGCAGAAGTAGTATTTGTAGAAGTTGCTGTAGTATTTAGAGTAACAGCATCAGCAAGAGTTTTAGTAGTAGCGGCAAGAGGATTAGTATTGTCAGAGGCAGTAGTATGCTAGTACCTGTAGACATTGTAGTATAGTAGTAGCAGCAGTAGTAGTAGTTGTAGTACGATTAGTAGTAGTAATGGAAGTAGGTTTCGCAGTAGTAGAATAGCAGTAGCAAGAGTTACAGTAGTGGTAGTACTGCAGGAGGAGGACTAGCAGTGGCTACAGGAGTAGTAGTATTAGCAGTACCAGCAGCATTAGCAATACTAGTAGCAGAAGTAGTAGTAGTTTAGTAGTAGTTGTTACAGTACAAGTTGTAGTAGCATTAGTAGTAATAGCAGTAGTCTCATTTGTAGTTTAGTAGCAGTAGTAGTACCAGCAATAGTAGTATTAGCAGTACCAGCAGAATGTAGAAGGAGCAGCAACAGCAGTAGTAGCAGTCGCAGTATTTGTATCAGTACTATTAGTACCTACAGGGCCAGCAGTAGTAGCAGTATTTGTATCAGTAGTATAATACCTACAGGGCCAGCAGTAGTAGCAGTATTTGTATCAGTAGTATAATACCTACAGGGCCAGCAGTAGTAGCAGTATTTGTATCAGTAGTAGTAGCAGAAGTAGTAAATCAAACACTTGGATTTAAAATGTCTAGTCCTCGTCCTGCTTCGTGTTTTCTTCCCACTGGGCTCATAATCTCATTTAATCTCTTTGCACAAGACATCTTTCTCTCCCCCTTCACCCCGTTATCACCCTCTGCCTCCCCTTCAGCGTTCAGAGGAGGGTAAACTCACTGTGTTTGTTACACACTTCTTTATTTACTTCATCCCTCACTTTTTGCTTTCAGACTTTAAAGGTCAACAGAGCCCCCCCCCCCCTTCATCCATCCATCTATGCTTCTTAATATATGTCCTGCTCTCATCTCTAACCAGACCACCGTGCAGTTTGAACCTATTTTTACTTTGTTACTCACGACCCCCTAAAAACAACAGCGCACAGTCGTGTTATTCACGGCGCCCCACATGACCACGAGCTTCTGTGAGCGACTTAAAGATTGTGAAAAGCTCTTCTGGGTTATGAAAGTCAGGAATCTGTGATCTTCTGATGTGGAGGGTTAAGCAGCGGTCACTTCTTTAAAGGCCGGTGAGAATATCCAGATTAAAGCAGAGCTCTTTTTCTACAGGTTAGGATTAAGAAGAATCCCGTGAATGTATTGTATATATATATATACATCCCATGTTTCCT